ACAAGGCAGCATTAGGTGAAGGGCATTGGCTTTGCCAACCTGCATCACGTCTGTCATACTCACCAAGGATGCTCAGACATCCGCTTCAAGGGATGGATTCAACTCATTAACATTCTTTGCCATTGGAAGGGCAGGAAGTAGCAATTACTAATGGCACATCAAACATCAGCGTTTCAGTGTGCAACCTGTGTATTTATTTAGCAAGCCTCACAATGCATTTGTGTAGCTAGCTGGGGAAGTCATAGCTGAGCTGTGAGAGATGCTTTGCATTTCAATACCAGGGAAACAAAACCAAAAATCACACTTGCCTTATATAGCTTCTGAAGCGGATGAAGCAGGCTCCCATGTCCTTCTAATACATACAAAATGCCTGCAGCTCTGAAAGATTAGGTGTGTCAGCTAAAGAGGTTCCATGTTCCAGCCAACTTTATGAGGAAGGAGGCTCCGCCATCCTAGTCTCATTTCCAAGAAACTCAATGGTTTTGCAAGAAGTTGAGATCCAGGGGTCAAAAAACCCAGTGCAGAAAACAGGCAGAGCGGCACACACAGGGACAGCATGTGCCAACCAAAACCGGAGCCTGGCAGGGTGGAGCCACATTCCAGCTGCCAACCAGGCTCCAAGCTGCAGAAGCAACACACTTGTAACTTCCCCAGCAGCCAGGTAAGGCTGCTAGGGCCACGACCTGTGCTGGCCCCAGCTTCCCCTGCCCCACTCGGGGTAACCTGTTGCACACCAGGGGGTGCATGGCATGGGCACTCCCCGCACAACTAGCAGTGGCACAAGGGGTCCCGCTTCTAGTTGCCTCCAGGGAACCAAACCTCTACTCGTCTGAACATGGCCACTGGGTTTATCTTGAGAATCATGTTTGCACACCTAGCAGTGCTAACATTGCATGGCAGCCCGCAGCACCCCTGAAAGGATCTCCAGGCATCCCAGGGTGCTGCAGCACCCTGGTTGGTCACTGGGTTCCAGGCTGAAGAGACGTGTAAGCAAGCTGTTGGAAGTAAATGTATTGTTTAAATAAGACAACACACTGTCTTATTCGTAGATCTGCAGTCATCTCCCTCTCCAGACTGTACCCCCTGCTCATAGCTTGTGGCTTGCCCAGCTTACTGAAGCATTTCCTTTTGCTCATAGTACTTCATATTTCTCACCTCCATCTCCCACCCCAGATAGTTGAAGAGGCAGGCAGTGTTGTGGTTGCAGCTGCCCATTTCTTACCCTGGGACACTGTTCCCTGACTCCTGTTGGAAGCCTTATTAGGCCTCCAAGTCACCAGACCGTCTGCAGGTTTTAGACACAGCCCAGCATCTTAAAATGACAGGGAGCACAAAATAATCCTCACTTTCCACTTCTCCCTGACTCTGCTCTGCAACCCATTCCCTCATATGGCCTAGCCCCATTGTTTATTGCATTAAAACACGAGGCCTTTTTTCATGAGCCTGGGTTTGCTCAAAACCAAGCTGGCCTCAGCCTTCACATGTGCTGCTTTGTAACAGCTTTAATCTATCTGGATCTAGAGCAAAGTACTGTGCCAGACAACTATAGCAAGACAGCGATTCCCTCCATCCTACTGACTGCACTCCCTATGAGGTTTCAGAGGAGGCAAGGATGTTATAGCAAGGCTGTAAAACAAGATGCTGTCTCTCAGCTATTTGCTTTATTAAAAAATTTGAGCAGGAATCAGAAGCCAAATGTAAGGAGCAGACGTAGAACGATTCAGTCTCCAGAAAGGGAAACGATGCAGTCTGTTATTCTTTGGGAAAACATGCTTAGTGCTGGGACATCTGCTCAGCTTGCTTTCACCCCCTCTGTGTGTTGTCTGGGACAAGCAGCTTTACACTACGTGTAGGCACAGAGTCTCTACTTGTGCTGGGATCTCTAGAACCTACTGCCTCCTTGGAAGAACTTCTTATCACAGCTTAATTTTGCAACATTGAGGATACTAATTCAAAGGTAAAAAATAAGGCATTTGATAAAGCCTGTAGAAACATGCTCCATAGAAAACATTAGCGTATAAAAGAGAAAGATATTTTTAATAAATAACATGTATAGTGACTAGAATGGACCCCTCTAAATCACCAGCATAATGGGCCAAAGGATTTCATTCAGCGAGTCCTGTGTCACTCCCATGATTTCTGGCTGAATTAGAGCAGGTATTTTAGAAAGAATCCAATCTGGATTACTCTGTGGTCATTCTAAAGCCAGTTTGTCATTCACCAGGCCAAGGCTCTCCTTACAGCCACACTACAAGATGAATGGAGGAGGAGATTTGAAGCCGTACATGTTCCCAAGCCCCTTTAGGCAAATACAGGTCTTTGCATTGCACAAAATGTATGCCCCTCCATAACAATCTGTTACACAAGAGATCACCCAATAAATGTAGGAACTAAATGTAGAGGAAATGTATATGCTCCGAATGGCAGTGTCACAAGATCCACTTCTACTGGGTAAAAAAATTGCATCATAATAGATGATCTCTATCAAATCTTTTCCGCAGGAAATAAAGGTTGTGCCTATTAAGAGAGAAATGGGAAAATAATTGGTACAAGGAAATGGATGGCCTAACACAGTTGCACTGCAAATAAATTCTAACTGAGCAGACTACTGCAATCATTATGCATTTTTAATACAACAGGAAACCAATGGATGAATTTTCAGACCATCAGCATCCTCCCCCTCTTGCTGATAAGATTAGAGATGCTTGTTTTCTATCTCTACAGTACCATGCAAGATAAATCTGCTTAGAAGTGCTTCCAGGTCCTCACGTATTTCAAGACTTTAGTGCTTTACTTGTGCTGCAGTTAACAGGGAACTATCACCCTGGAATTCTTTTTCTTTGGGAACCTCAGGGAATTTGCAATTGTCTCAAGTCACCAAAGGAAGTAGCTGGATATCCCAAAACTGAGCATTTAAACCACTGTGTTTGGGTGCCAGAGACTGGGCTCCGACCCTGCAGTTTGGACAGCGGTGCCTTTGAGGGAAACGTTGGGTTTCTGTCCAATGAAAGGTGCCACATGGTTGTATACAAGCCACCAAGACCACAGTAACCGCCAGAGGGAGCTCCTCTACTGCCAGTCCAGAAAATAACTGACAGCCAAAGGTGGTGGCAGGTTATCCGACCCGCAGCGGGCTCAAATGGTTCCACCTGCTGCTGCAAGGCACGTGCAGACCTCCAGAACTGGTGGCTGAGTCAAGTTCCAGCTGGGTTTGGAGACCAGCGACTGAAACTCCTGTGCCAGCAGGATTTTTAACAAAAGCAGAGCCCATAAAAATCCTGGCCAGCAGCTACTGAATATCTCAGAATCCCACCGGTGTCAAGCTGCAGCCATGGCTCAGATTTAAAACAGGGAGAGCTCAGGGCTGGGAGAGCTGGCTCCCAAATTTGGATGACCATAATTTACTCGTCAGATTCACGCAAGGGTTCCTTCCTACGAACACCACCACGCTCAACTATGCAGGATAGCAAATCCAGCCAAAGCTGCCTCACACTGGCATTGGAATGAATCCTATCTGCAGAGAGCAGCGAGTCAGCTCCAGAGATCTGCCTCGCTCCAAATCCACTCTGGCCAGGGCACTATGGGAGAGCTTCAGACATGTGCCTACTACAGCCACAATCTCTGCAAGCTCTTTAGTCCCCTAAGTGGCCATTTGGAAAAAATAAGTCTAGTTTTTCCGTAGGCATATGAAGAACTGCTTCTATTTAGCACTTCAGATGGTGCCACCCTCCCACCCCCTCGCTTCCTACACAGAAGATGTTAGCAGCTCACTCCAGGATCCAAAAATAAACCAAGTCACCTACCCTGCTGGCATTTACCACGCACACATCTTCACTCAGGTGACTTGCAGCCATGTACTCGACGCCTGGAAGTTGAGAAAAGGACTGTCAGAAATCTTAGCGGAAATGGATTCAAAGAAGAAAACACACAAGAATAAAAGATCCCTGCATGCAATTTACACAGGAGGGAAAACATGCAACTCAAGCGAGGCTCTGAACATCTCAGCAAATAGCAGTATTGGGGTCTATATGGGCCAACATTATTATTATTATTATTATTTTTTTACATTTTAAATAACTGAGCAGAATTTTTTTGGGCAGTAGCAGGACTCTCTACGGTCATTGGCATTTTACATTTTTGAAACTTTTTTCCATTCCTTTTTGCCCACATGACATTACAGTGCGTTACGAAGGGCACAATATTAAAAGTTATCGTTAATTTATGCAGAAGCACGTGGTTGTTTGTTTTTTTTTAAATGTCTATTTTTAAACATCTTTTGTTGCTGCAAAATTTTACATTAAAATTAACACTTGAAGAATTGCTTCAATAACTTTTATGCAAATTGCCGTCACAGTTTATGTAAAAGAGAAATGCGCTATTAAAATCAGACATTTAGGTTACCTTTTGGGTTTTGCGATGCATGTTAGCTTTACACATCCTGATTCTCCTGCGATAATTTTCCTTTAAAAGGGGGGCATAGGGTGATCTTTTCATCAAGACAGACATTATGCCCTGAAAGCTGACTCCAAACCATTGTGGAAAATTCAGTTATTTACACTTTAATAACAAACTACAAATACAACTTTTTGTTTTTAAAGTATTCCCCTCAGTCATGCGCTGCGACAAGCAGTTTGGATGCTAATGTGCTAATATAAATTTTTCACCCCCGAGCAGTTTGTGTCTCTTTTCCCCTTAAAAACGCCAGATTTGTTTTTTTGCAGAGGAGGGAAATAAAACCATCTCACATTTCTCTACACAGCACTTTACTTTAACCTATTGTACCGTCTCAGAAGATTAAGAGCAGTTGCTTGCATAACTTCTCAAAACCACCAAGGGTTTGTAACTGGCTTCCCAGGTGAAGGCCACCACAAAGTACTTAAAGCATCGTCTTAAAGCAAGGGTTAGTTGTGTTAATACAAAACCAAGGATCAGCTCCCTTTCCTCTGCTCGGTAGCTAGGCCCTGGATTTTTCAGCATTCGCTTTATCCTTCTACTTTTAGAGCATCTATTTCAGACTCCACGTGGAGTCGGCCGTCTGAAGAATGCTGAGGCCACCTAAGTCATTAGCTCAAGTCACGAACCAGAAACATTTCTTCCAGCTGCCAGTTTTACAGAAGTCAGATTTCTGCATGAGTGCTGGCTCAAACTGCTTTCAACAACTTCCAGGGGGTGAAAAACGCTTTTTGGGGTTTTTTTTCCCTTTTTAAAAAAAAAAGAGACAGCTCACTCACGAGAGCTTGAGAACTTTTGGTAAGTTACAGAAAAAAAAAAAAAGTAAAAACACCATTTTAGAAGTCTCCATGTTTTTGTTTTTAAAAAAAGACCATTAACTTTAGCATTAATTTAAATTTTATTTGAAAGAGAAAAGCTATTTTATTGCTCGACAAAAAATGACAATTCATCACATTTACTTTGATTAAAAAAGGACTAAACTTTATTGACAAACTGCTGCAGACATTTTGACAAGTTTTAGCTACCTATTTAGGCAGACTTACACATGTAGCATTTAATCTTCAAGAACAATGTGGGAGGACAGTGTACAAATCCCATTAGGACTTTAACCTATGTACAAAGTGAACTTTTTCCTCATTTTTCAGCTGCAGTGTCCCTTTTTATGTAAAGCTAGTGTTGAGATGCACTTGAACAAGTAGCTAGGATTGCTAAATATCAACAGCTCTGCCAATTTTAAAAAGCTTGCGCTGCGCGACCTGCCCCAAACGCCCTCGGATAAGAAGTCTGTAAGTTTTACAGAACTCGGAGCTATTCATTTAATACTTTGCTTCCTAATTTCCAACGCTGGGCAATTAAGACAGAGCCGTGGAGTCATAATTTGCTCTTTCCTTAAGAAGTTCTCCACGCAGAACCAAGGTAAGAACCCCTCACTGGAAAAACCTGATTCCCAAGCGTCTCTCAACACTGCACATTCGGGGCTAGATTTCAAAACCCACATAAGAAAAGTCAATTTAACAAACCTAATTCCTTTTAGGTCAATTAACTTAAAAAAAAAAGGCTATTTAATTTGTTATGAGGATCCTTTGTATTAAAATTTAAACTTAAAGAGTCACCAGCCATCTGCTTTTAAGGAAAGTTTGATATCTGAATTTATTTTTAAACGGTGGCAGCCACTACCGTTACATTATGATTTTAACTTCTTAAAAACAGCCCTGAATTTTGAAATGTAGCCTACTTTGGGATTCTGCAACTACAATTTTTACGGGTTGCTTAAAAACCAAACTTAAAAGGTTAACAAAAACCTTAACTTCATAACTGTTAAGCAAGCATGTCACTTTGGAAACTAACATTTTTTTTTTTAACTCAACTTTTTTGTATTAAAAAAAGTACAGTTTTTTTTTTTTTTTAATATCTAAACAACAGAGAAAGAAAAGCAGTCTACACACTTAAAAAAATTAAAGTCGGTCTTCTAAATCTATTTAACTCATTTTAAAATACTACGTACAGAAGCCAGAATGCGGGGTGAGGATGGAGTGGGAGAAAAAGAGGGCCACGAAGAAAAACAGTTAGACAATTACTTGTCTGGTGTGGGCAAAGCAACAGGAATCCTGGGAGATACAAGAATCAGTAACAACTGTTTGCTCATAACTGATATTTTTCCCTCATGTTTGTTTTAATAGCGTCCGTAGGGGTGCTCTCTGTAGGCCCCTTTCACTGGCCTAGCCGGCGGGGCCTTCAAGGAGGGCCTTGTCCCATTCCAGTCATCTTGGCCTGCAGGAAAGAAAGCAACACATCAAAACACGCAGCACGCTCCCCGGCAGAGCTGCACGTCACTGCGGCGTGCCAGGCAGAGCACCCGCCTGGGGTGCTGATACCGCCGGTGCCGTGAAGTCCAAGAGCATCCATCTTCCCAGGGCTCTCCTGGCTCCAAACCCTGGGGACGCTGGCCCGGAAGTTCTGCTACAAGGGACGCTAGCCACACGCTGGGCGCCCTCCCGTTTTCCAAAAGTGTTTCGCAAAGATCACTTGTGGGGCCACCCTTCAGGAGTCGTCGGATAAATGTCCCCGGACAAGCTGAGTATCTCTGGCTTATGCATTCTGCATCCTATCAAGGAATTTGAAACCAAGTCCAGTTCCTGAAGCAGCTCTGGCAGTTGGCCTCATCTAAGGTCACAAAAATGACAGCCCTTCCAGCGGCATTTTAGAATGCGTCACCTCCAATTTCAGGGTGGAAGGACAGGGCTACAAGACGCCCCCCTCCCTTTTAATGCAAGCACGAGCCTACACAAACAACAGATTGCGAATGCTCCCAGCGACGGCAGGAATCTTGCACCAAACGTTCAGATACTGCTCTGCTTTCTGCCAGATATTCCTCACTCCAACACACTGCTTCTACTACCAAGGAAACGTCTCCAACGTGGTTTTACTAATCGACAGCCTGGTTCCTGAGATCAAGCACTATTCCCGAACCACTGCCTGTGCCCTGACACGTATTAACAATGATAAAAAGCTTTTGGTAAGACAGCCAAATACCTTCAAAACATCCTTCTGCTGCATAAATAACTGCAGAAACCAGCTCAAGTCCTGTTCACCTGCAGCTGAAGCCTGAGAAAGCCAAGCTCCAATTTCAGGATAGCTTGTGCTTGGGATATCTGTATTTGCATGTCTGTTATTCTCTCTGCGGGTCACTGGTTCTGGTGAAATAAATATCCACTGGCCCCACCAGGCAAGCCCAGCGCTCCATTTCCACTCTTGTGGGACACCTTCCCATCTCCCTCGAAGCAGCCTCCATGCCAGAGACACAATTTATTTTTCTAATTTTGTTTTCATGGAAGCAGAGACCAAAGGAAATTACTGTGGATAAACAGATTAACTGTGGCAACTTCATGCCAAGCCTACTATGTGCAGTTTGGCCCTTTATATCACGGACTGAACCCCCCCGCCCCCGGCAAAATGCCACACACTGCTCTGTTACCAAGTGGGAGCACAAAAAACCTCTTTGTGCTGCGTGACCAACTCAGGCAGCAAACCAAAGCATTTAACAGCCATTCTAAAAAAAAGGCATAAGAGATACACCCAATATTGGACAGCAGCCGTCTATTCACATTTACCTTAAAACAGAAAACAGTCTTTGCTTCGGCATCTGAATTTAAGCTCCACAAAAGTATGGACCAGAGGGTATTTAGAGACAAGTCTTGCTCACAGATCATTCCTGAAGCAGGAAATTCTTACTTCTGCTTCTGAGCCCTGAAATACACTCAACTGGCCATCTCTCTCCTCACCTTGAACATGCTTGAGACTCAAAGCCTAATATAAAATACATCCCCCTTGGAACTCACTTCCTCTGCACTGACTGGAGGCTGCTTTTAATATAGAAAAGAGATTCGCGCAGTGGTTTTAGCTCCTGATGGTTTGAACAGCAAGACAGGAGACCAGGTATCTCTCTTTCTGCCCTACAGCCAAGAGCAGCTCACGAAGCCTAGCACAAGGGTGGACAGCTTGCAGCATGGGTATCATGAGTGGCATGGGCAGCCTGTGTGTGACAAGTCAAAGACCAGGGAGGGAGCAGAAAGCAGAGCAGCAGCAGCTTGGGCAGGACAGGGGAATTGGAGGAGCATTTGCAGAGGTCATGAGGCTTCCTTTGTGGCACACCGGCCAAAACGGTTGACCCCCACCCCCCTTAAAAGAACTTCAGTTTATTCAATTCAACTAAATTCTCATTTTTCAGAATCAGCCATTGTTCTATTCAATGAGTGCAGATTTAAGGCACAGTCCTTCACCTCAAGTGTACTTCTACTAGCCAAGTTTCGTAGGCCGTGCATACAGAAGCCACTGGAGACCAACAGTGCTCCACCAAGTTAAAGGGAAGTCTTACTACTAAATTAAAAACCACCTTCCAAGCAACCGTTTACTGCAGTCAGTGTCAGTTGTAGGGGTTTTGGAGGATAAAGCACAAATGGAGCTGTGGATTCATACAGCTCCATAAAACAGGAACCATGCAAACCCAACTGCAATGACAGTCATCTTGTAGGTGGAAATCCAGGTCTCCAGTTGTGGAGCCTTCCCTGGAACAGAGAAATTCCAAAAACAGCGCACTTCTGTGGAAATTAAAAGGCATCCTACCAGTGAAAGACACTGGGACTTGAAAAAGGTCACCTCTGTGAGAGGCTAGATAAGAGCCAAGATGGGTGGCCTCACTGCAATTGTCATTTCAACCTATGGTTTTGGAATGCAAGTATTTTCCCACAAAGACTGGTTCCCTACCCCCATCCCACTACATCTCCATCATCCGCAGTTTCCTGTGTGCTGCTCAGAACTTCCTTCACTGTTTCTGCCTTGAAGCAACTCCCATTGAACTTTAGCCCCTTATCTTGCTGTTCCCAGACATACCGTAAGCTTCATAGGATTCTTGTGCCTCCCCGTGTCCATAATCATAGTATTCTGTATCCCTGAAAGACAAAAGGAAATTCGTTATGTGGAAGCAAACATTTCTACAGCCCAACAGCTGGAGCATTCAAGTTCAGGCAAACCTCCCTCCTAAGCATGCTGCGAAACTGTGCAGTGACTCAATATAAGCTGCTGAAGCCTCCCAACTACTGTGGATAAGCACCCACTGCTTCTGCAGCCTCTGCTCAACACATGTTCCAACACACTAGAAACAAGAAGAACAAGTCACTCCCCTCAGACTCAAAAGGGGAGAGGGAGTAGACACATTTCCTTTTTACCTGCAAGTTGTGCAAGTCATGCAATTCTCTCACTAAAGGGACAGATGACAAACTTACCCTTGGCCCTGGCTGTAGTAACCTTCGTAACCCTCGTAACTCTGATCAGCATAAGCATCATCATAGCCCTGAAAACAGATGGTGACATAAAGGTATTCATGTGGAGGGTCTCATCCATCCCAAGGAGAACAGTAAAATGCAATTTAGTCTGAAATGCTCTTTACAAGAACTTGGAACTGCTGGCACATCCAAGGGGACTCAACACCTGAAAGAGCCCAGGAAAACTGATATACCACTCCCTCAATCTCACCCCAAAACATTTTTTTTAATTTAAAACTGGATTTTTTTTTTTTATTGCTTTTAAAAATCAGCCTGTTTAAAAGGACACCAGTATGAATTCACAATCTGTTAAGGCCTAAACACAATCTTGTTAAAAAACAGCACTAAAAATGCTTAATCCAGGAGACTATCAAAAAGCTGAGTTACAAGCTGTGTGGCTTTTTGCATAAAAGAAAAATCACTGGGAAAACGTTTCAGGTCAAGCTTTGTAAGCATGGTACAAGAGGTCACATACTACATCAAGGCGTGATCCTGTGAGGACTGTGCCATAGGGTACGTGACACTGGCACCAGTTATAGCATCCCCTCATGCGTAGCAAAAGGCTACAACATCTACTGTAAAGGGTGCATTTAGTTCAAATCTACATGGTTTTTAACGGTTGTAACAACCAATCAGAGCACAAGTTTTGTTACCAAAAGCCCTGGAACTCAAATGAGAAAGCCGATTAAAACAGATTAAAACTGCCAATTTAAGTCTGCTTTAAAAAATAGCACACAAACAAAAAGATCAACCAGAGTGTCAAAAACCTGGTTTATAAGTTTTGTGATGCAGGAGAAACTGAGGCATACTGTCCTATTCATCAGGCATGCTGAAGTCAGGCAAAATGTTGGAAGCTGCATCCTGTCTACACTACAAATTCAAGTTATGCCAGAAGGTTTGTACAGCTCGGTGACAGAGAACACCGTTGCAAGGTTAATCAAATGAGAAACTCCTAGGCAGAGAAACAAAAGCCAGGAGAAAGTGGGATATTTTTAAAAGAAATCTCAGCCTTTGTAAATGAGTTCCCAAATCTCTGCTGTTCATCACCTAAAGCAAGGCTGTCAGTCTCTCTTTAAAATGTCAAGAGTCAATATTCAGTTAACAAAAGGCTGGGGCTATAAGCCTGGCCATACTGTTGGCAGAGATTTATCAGAGTTTATTCTCATTTTTAAGCTCTTGGTGTGCACTCCAAAGACTCCAGGGCTCCCTGCTTATGCAAGAAGCTTCCTGCGGAAGTATTCTGATTCCCCTCCCCACCAATAGTATATATGTTAAAATACACATCTTGGCCACACTTCAGTCAAATTGCAATGATTTTCCTCCAGGAGCATTTAGGAGGAAGGCAAGGAAACAATGGTTGAAGGGGGAAGTAAGGTCACTCTGCCTGGCGCCCATGCTTGCTGCTAAGCAGGGACCACAAGGCCTGATAATAGCAACAGCAGTATCTAACGCGAGGTTATTTTGCCTGTCAGCAGGTCTGGCACAAGCAGGCAGCTCCTTACATATTCTTCGTAGGTTTCTGGTGCCGGGGGAGGAGGCAGCGGTATTCTCTGGATGCCTGCAGCACGAGCTCTTGGTGCAGGGGCACCCCTTACAGCTGGTGGAGGGGGTACACCCCGGGCCACCGTAGCTCCTCTGGCTATGGCACCTCTTACCGGGGCTCCTCGCACCAGGGCACCACGAGGAGGAGGTGGAGGAGGACCAACACCACGCCCCCTGCAAAGAAAAAGGGAACAGGAACAGTCATGTGCTGTAGGACTCAGGGGTGACTCCCTAACTCAGTTCACCTGTGTGCATGTATGCCCTCCCACTGCACCGTGGCCTGTGTTATCACAGCACCTAACTGTCCTAGAGTCACAGCCAAGAACCACGTTCCCAGGTGCCGTATAAATGCACAGAACCCAAGGTGGCCTTTGCACTAAAAATTAATTCTGACACCTAGAAAAGTAGCCCTGGACCTTCCTTCAAAATGTACCATAAGCCTCTTCGGACACATCAGATAGGGCAGGAGGGAACTATGGGGCCATAAAGATGCAATGATGAGATAGACGGCTGACTACGTAAGAGCACCAGACATTTAGACAGAAGCAGCTGTTTCTCTTGTGCTCCATTTGGAAAAACACGCTAGCTACAGTGGCATTGTGACAGCACAACTTCACCACCAATTTAGTCCAGTGCCTTGAGAAGAGAAACAGTAGCAGCATATTGCTTTCCAAGGGAGTTATGCTCAGAATTTGCAATTTAAGTCTATTATAGGAGCTGACAGAAGACAACCATCCAATAGGCTTCAAAATTAAGCTTCCCCGCAGTTTTAGAAGGCAGATGCAAATACAATTTCCACAAGGCTGCTGTAAAGCTACTTCATTTCAGATACCAAAAAACCCAATTAACATTCATTAAACCTTATAACCTCCGTCCCAGCACACCTATTGCTAGAACAGGCAGAGTCATAACTCCTGATTTAAGAGAAGCATCCCCTGTAGTACAAAAAGGTCCAACAGCTGGAGTTCATAAGCAACAAAGATCAGCCTAGTTCAGCAATATTGTTAACACGACTTCCCACTACCAGCATTTGTGCTTTCCAGAGTTACCTGGGAACAGGTGGAGGAGGAGGGGGAGCTGCTCCTCTTCCTCTCACAGGGACCCCTCGACCACGTGCTGGCTCTGGCACACCATTCAGATAGGACAGCTCCAGAAACTGCTCCTGGCAGATATCATCCATCATATCCTGGGGAGAACAGGAAAAGAGAAAGTCAACTTCCAGCACAAGGTCACAGGTTACCATCTCCAAGCATCCTCACCAGAGCGCTGCAGAGAGCCACAGCAGAGGTCCAGAAGCGTCTACAGTCCCATTTTAAAGCCACGTCAGCTCACTGTCAGCAAAATGCTTCTGTGTGAAAATGCACCACTATTCTCCAGACAGACTACAAATTGTTCACCTCAGAAGGAAGAATGAGATGCAGCCCAATGCAGAGGAAATTCCCATCAGCACTACTGTCCATAGTGTCTTCTCACATTTCTGTGAACACAGCACTTCTCTGCTCCAAACATATTCCTTTCCCCAGGGAATACTACTTTGGGATTTGGCAGAAGAGTCTATTAACCCAACAGAAGCTGTTGTGCCTGTCTGACCCCAGACATAGTTCAAGTTTCCAATAATAGTCTGAGGGCATCCCTTACATCTGCCAGGGCAACACTGCAAAGCAAAAAAATCTCCTACAGTTGGGTCTTCACAGAACAGGGGGATGAGGAAAAGAGCTGTGTTTGTTTCTGCCATCGCTGGGGTCTTTGATCCAGGGAATTAGAGAAGGTTGAACCTCTAGCTCTGCTATTCAAATGCCATGAGCTCTACATGCCTGCTCCCCTCTTTTGTTTCTACCAAAGTCGCAGTTCTGCCTTGAGATGCCCAGACCATTCCCAAAAAGCGTGGGACTGGTCAAAACTGAAGCTTTAGAGTTGCTACATTACATCCAAACAACAAAATGCCCAAAGTGAAAGCAAGGGCCTTGGAAGCTCAGGCAATGGAAGAAACATCTCCAAAGGAATAAAAAAGGTTCATAAGATGCCCGATAAATTGCCGTGAATCATCTTATGTCAAACCCATTAAAAAAGATAGAAGAGTTGACTTAAGAGCTACTGGGACTTTAAAAAAAAAAAAATCTGACCAGATTTCCATGCTAGTTATACTTTTCTTTAAGTTTACTGCCCTCCAAACTCTTTTATGTCCTTGTCAGAATAGATTAAGATGTTTTTCTATCCTACGAAGCGAAGTCCAGATCAAAACTAGTGAGAGCTAACAGTCTGCTAGCTCTTCTTCCAGAAGAACTCTGAAGTTCCTCATCACAAGCCCATCCACATAAATGTGCATCTTGGACCAGCTAATGAAGCTTTACCTAGAGATCTCCCTGGAAATTTCAAGTGATGAGTGGTACTCATCCAAGAAACCTCTTCCCCTGTAGAATCATGGGAATGTGGGGCTGGAAGGACCTCATTTGGTCATCTAGTCCAGCCCTCCTGCTCAAGGCAGCAGCATCCTAGACTGCCATCCCAGCCAAGTACCTGTCCATCCTGCTCTTGAAAGCTTCCACGGTCGGATAGTCCCTGACTTCACTAGGTACCCTGTTCCAGTGCTTGACCACCCATGTAGTGACAAAATTCTTCCTAATCTCCAGTGTAAATTTCCTCTGCTGCAGTTCAAGGCCATGTGCACCTAATCCTGCACCTTGGAAGGTGCATCTTCTATAGGTCACAACTACGGCTGTTCTCTTTGTAAAATTACCATACAGGGGCAGGAGAGTAGCCCATCTGCTGCAATACCCGGTCTGATATTGGTCCTTTATGCTTCCAAAAACAGAACAAGAAACCACAAAGAAGCCAATTATGAAGTAACTTCTACCAAACGTATATTCCAATCCACTGTAGTTAGGGCATTACATAGAAGCCAGAGACACACCAGCTTTACACCTAGCCTCTCAACTGAGAGCCATGGGACTTTTCAGTCTGGAAAAGTGCAGGCTCAGGGGCAACCTGGTGGCCACCTATAAGTTTATAAGGGGTGTTCACCAGGATCTGGAGGAATGTTTGTTCACCAGGGCGCCCCAAGGAATTACAAGGTTGAATGGTTATAAACTCCTGCAAGAACATTTCAGGCTGGACATAAGGAAGAACTTCTTTACTGTCCAAGCCCCCAAGGTCTGGAACGGCCTGCCACCCAAGATGGTTCAAGCACCTACTTTGAATGCCTTCAAGAGAAACCTGGATGTTTTTCTTGCTGGGATCCTATGACCCCAGCTGACTTCCTGCCCCTGGGGCAGGGGGCTGGACTCGATTATCTTCCGAGGTCCCTTCCAGCCTTAATGTCTATGAAATCCATTTGGGGCAGCTTAAAAAAAACAATAATAAAAACTGTAACCCCTCCCCTCAAAAATATGCTTCCACTTTGAAAAGAACCAAGTTGTACATACCGGAACAAGGAATTTCTTGACCTCTTCCATGGCATGTGCCATGAGTGCATAGGCCTCACAAGGGGGTCCAAAGACTTCAATGAAAACATGCAGATCCATATTTAAATGAGCATATTTGGGATCTCCCCCTTTGCGCAGATCTTCCTCCTGGAAAAAATGTGTTTCAATTTCATCAGGCCATGTAAAATGCAAGAGATCTTCTCTCTATAAACCTGCTAACTAGGCCCTGACTAGCAGTATATGACCATCCAGAGGAACATTTTTCAGGCGTGTTTTGCCATGGATGGCCTACTGCTTACTGAGCACTAAGTATTATTCCTACTAAAAAAAACATGAACAAGGTGTTCTGGTCTCCACTGAGACTGTTGACAGCCATGAGATAATTGCATACTGGATTTGGAGGTGTGGTTATATAATGCCACTTGTCAAGCCTGGCTGAATATTTCAGTTAAAAGACAGAAAAGTTTGTACGGGAGCATAAGATAAATGGCAACGAGCCGTTCAATAATAATCAATATGTTACAGATGAATAAGTCAGAGTTCTTGTTTTGACACACAGCATGCTGTCAGTTGTATTTCTAATAGTACCAGTTCAGAGACAGTCTGACTTTCAACCTCTTTACCATCCTATCCAAGTAGCCATTAATAATTCTGCTCCATTTCATGTTCTTCTACCAAGTTCTGCACAGGAAGAACAAATTCCTAAGCTCTAATCTGAGCAGTAAAGTAAAAGGAGCTGATTTTCCCCATCTTAGGATCATAGGAGTGAAGAGAAATTCCAAGAATCTAGTGTGATACTGCAATTAATTCCCCACCCACCCCAGCCCTTTTATACAGTTACTGATGTGGGACAATAGTTAAAACACATTTTCTATTCAAGGAATTTGATTAATTGCTGACCTATTGAAACTCTAGTATTAAGAGCAAGGCTAGAGAAAATTAAGGCATATGGTACATGAATGAAGTAGAGGAGGCTAGGCAAACACAAGATAGCAGTGACAATGTGAGGTACAACAAGAATGGACTAGCTTCCCACAACAAAACAGATAATTTAATACAGATGAGCATTTAAAAAGCATCTTCCCCAAAGGCACTAACAGACCTTGTCAATTGCTGTGCATTTATCCCTCCCATTGATTGCAGTGTATGCTGTGGGTGCTCAGAACCTCTGAAAAGTCAGCTCATAAAATTTTAAAAGGCTATACATGATTTCACCAATTGAGTCTGGGTGAGCTTTATTGCTTCTTCCTGTATAACGTGATTTGTGGGGCTTGCTATACTAGTCAGTGGTTTTACCCTTTGGTTTACCATTAACAGCTACTCCTATTTTCTTTGGGGAAAATGCTTTCTATATGTCTGCAATATAGTCACCAATCTTAAATGCATAGGTGGGCTCAAGTCACATCAGCAACAATATTCCTATCTAGTAGTTTTATCACAAGCAGCTAATCTATTCACCCACGAATCTACAGCTTCGTATCAGCCTGAAAGAAGTGGTGGTAATACTTCTAATACACTGATGCACCGCTTTTTTTCAGCAGATAGCCACATGCGGGTATGACTATTCCTTTCTGTACCACGCTCTTCCCCTAGGAACTGTGACTACAGTTTTTCATTGCCTTTGCAATGAAAAACTGTAGTCACATCAAACATGTTTGCCGTTTTCCAAATTGGCTTTGTTGTTAAGTGCCTAAATTCACTCAGCAGTCACTAAGTTGGGGGGAAAAAAGTCTAAAATGTAGAGGTGACCTGCAGAATGTTAAAATAGAAGCTGTGATTTAATTCAATGTTGACAGCCCATATTAACCAGACTTCGGGGGCAAGCAGAAGAGGAATTCCTTTCATTTTTCTTTTCCGAAATTCCCCTGACATTTTGATTCTCTAAACATCACTTAGAATTCACCAGTCTTTGACATCTTCAGTGAACTGGCATACATCCAGAGGATTTCAGAGGGGAAAAGTTGCTCGTGTGCTCATGTTTTTAAAAATAATTTGTTTCTTCAGTGAGCTTTCTTCCCACCGCTCAGTTAATGGGGGCACTGAGTAAAGATAACTAGAATTTTATTTGATTATTTTATCTTTCCAGTTCATCTTCAAAAAGAAAGTCGTGCATTCTAAAGACACACAGAACAATAAGAGATTAATGGTTTCTACAAGTCACATTTACTGCAAGAAGTTTAACTACGTCTCCTCCCTTCAAAAACACATCTGTTTTAGCTCTTCAAGGACCTCCCATCAGGGAAAAAGCCCTCTCGCAGGACTTCTAATCATTTCCAATCATGTAAAATGCTCTGACCCCTCAGTGAAAGGCAAGGTGCACAAATATATTAGTTCCAAGTCTGCTGCCCTTACCTTTGCTTTGTCTCTCATTGAACCTTTTCCAAGCACAGAGATCTTTGCACCAGTTTCTTCCTGAAGTCTCTTGATAGTGTTGCCTTGAGGTCCCAGAATCTTCCCAACAAAGTTAAACTAACAGGGGACAAGCAGAATTTAGTCTTAAAGCTGAGTGCAGTTAAGGGCTGCTGCTAGTACAGCACAGGTTTCATGCACATGTCCAGTGCAGTACACACACAAAGTTTAATGAGGCCATCCTTGCCTCCACATTGCAGAAGATATGAAGAAAAAAAAAAAAAGTCTTATGGGAAAAATTTGCAACTGACCACAATATTCTTTTAATGAGAAACTTAATTTTGCCAGAAACTTGTGCTAAATTAGTTCAATCTATTTAGTTCTCATTTCTATGCTGCCACCCTTTTATGGGCAGCAAAATTAGAGTTGGAGGAGGTCTTAATTTTAAAATATGTAGAGAGATCTACGGGTGAAATTCTACTCTAGCTACAACAGATCATAACTACTCATTGCTGTTCACACGTTGATCCTAAAGACGTTTCAGGAATGCAAAAAATTAGAAATAAGATACTCCAAGCTTGCATAGGAGGCATTCCACAGAGAGCGTGGGACTAGCATAACTTATGCCGACCCAAAGCCACTACTCGCTGACGGATTCAGATGTAAAACCCACAGAAGCTAGGCACAACGTGGAAGATGTGCTTATGTGTTTCTAGGGAAATCAAAGATACGCCAGCTCTTTTCTGGCCCTCACCTTGGGGTACTGTTTGACAGGTATCAGAACTCGTTCTTTCAGCTTCATGTTCTTGTGGGAAAACAAATCCAGGTAGTTCTCCTCCTCATCCTTCTTCGTTTCACCCTTCTGAATTTTTTCAATTTCTAAATGAGATAAAAATAGCATAATTTATGTTCTCCAAACTGAACCAACAGGCTACACTCAGCTGTGTCTTGACAGGCTACGCCACCCTAAATTCTCTGTGAATATGTTCACAACGATAACTGCAGCAACCGAATTAGGACAGTGTTAATAAGACAGCTGACCTGGTCTATCCTGGTTAAGTTTACCTGGTCTAAAAATCTCAGGCCGGAGGGCAAAACCACAGGACATTGTTAGATAGAAATAAGCAGAGGAGGTGGAGTATGCTATAAGCACCCCTCAGCAGGAAAAGAGCACAAACCCTTCAAATTCAATGCATTAGTACGATATAAATCTACAAAGTGCTCCCTACAGGCCATATCTGCAGTACAAATCTATGCAATACCCTCCATTATCTACAAACCCACTAAAATACAAACTCTCTGTGACAAATAAAACACCCACCTGCAACCCTGAATGCACGTAGAAGAAGCCAGTCTCCCAAGCTTGCTGGTTCTACAAACCCCACTTCAGGACTGCAACCACGTGAGAATCCAGTTTATTAGAAAGTTGGTCTACAGCCTCCTTTATGAAAAAGTTGCACCATTTTATATGAAGCTGCATTTTTCCCATGGTTTAGCTCAAGTGATGTCAACCCACATGGATGGGTCTATTTCAGCTTAAGAACGGCCACGTCAATTTAGCTTTAACGGAGTCCTAATCCAGTTAAACAAGGCCAAATTCAAGTGCTCCCCACAAGATACCATGCACAGATGGAAGTACAGCTTTTAGTTGTGTTGGTTTAACAAGTTAAGAGCCTACAAAAAAAAATGGGAGTGGAAACATGCTGTCAACCTTAACCAAGCGCAGTTTTAATTTGTACTTGTTATACTTTATAAATGCACAGCCTTGGTAAAAAGGCAGAGAAATATGTTGATGGGGGGAGGAACCGGGGGGGGGGGGGGC